CTGGAACCCATTCCTGCCAGAGGGGCAAAAGGTGTGTTTCAGGTGGACATCCCTGAAGAACTGATCCCTTCAGAAGTGTAGGTGTTACCCCCCCACTATTACTTTTCCTGCCTAAATGCAAACTTGTAATAATGCACAACTCAGTATCTTTACCAGAGAGTTGTTGAGGATTCCCTTCCAAAACTAATCATTTGAACTAGGAAGTTGTCATGGGTTAAGCACAGACTGCTTAAAGTTAACTCTGTTAATTTATTTTTTCTCCCTCTTCTTCATAAATAGCTAGCAAGAGGCTGTGTTTTGGATTTAGGCTCAGGACAGGAGCTGATAAGAACGATATGTTGTTCTGCTGCCAAGGTCAGCAGACAAGCAGAGAGACACAGTCCAGCTGCTAGCCTGGGATTTGCTCTTGGGTTAAGATTGAGAACCAGACTGACCAATGATTTATTCCATGTCATGCACGTCATGCCCAGTATATAGGTAAGAACTCCCGCAAGAGTGCTCTCTTTTGCCTTCGCTCCGCTTTCGGTTTTGGTGCTCTCTTCTGGCTCTGCATCGCTCTCCCAAGGCCTTCCCCCCCCTCCCCCTACACACACTCTGGTCTCGGACGCTCCAATCGTTATCTCCGTTCTGTGAGTTTCGGGATCCTCCCTCTCCGGGGGGATCGTTAGCTGTGGCCAGGTGGTCGTTTTTCCCCCACTCTGGTCAGCTCTCGGTCCGGGATGCTGGGACTGTTATCTCCGTTCCGTGAGTGCGTCCGGGAGCGGTGCACTCACCCCGCCCCCACCCCCCCATTTGGGCGAATTGTGAGTGTAGTTCTGGGGATCGTTAGCTGTGGCCAGGTGGTCGTTTTTCCCCCACTCTGGTCAGCTCTCGGTCCGGGATGCTGGGACTGTTATCTCCGTTCTGTGAGTGCCTCCGGATACTCAACAGTATCACTGTTGAGTGTAATTCTGGGATCGTTAGCCAGCAACAGGCGGAGCCTTTGGTCATCGGGGGGCAGGGGCAGTATCATTGTGTGTCACTCATTCTTCCCCCTCCTCCGGAATCGCTGGCCCAGAGCGGGCTGGGCTTTTGGTTGTCAGGTGGGGGGGCAGTGTCACTGTGTATCACACATTTGTATATTTGTATATAGTATTGTTTTTAATATTATTGTATTTTGGTTTTGTAGTTTAGTTATTAAATTGTCCTTATCTCAACCCCTGAGTCCTCTTTACTATTTAACCCTTTTATTCTCTCTCCCATCATTGGGTGTGTGTGGCTTGGCCCTGAGCCAAGGGCTAACCCACCACAGAAGTACATTTGAAGAACTGCTCTTTTGAGGCAAAATAAACAAAAGATAATTTTTATGACCATTACTGGAAATTCTTAATGGTTTACTAGATTTTTCCTATATAAATAGCTAAGTAAATGCAGTATTGTGTGCCAATTGAAAATGCTAGTAAATGGTGCATGCGTCTCTGATTATATGAGGAAGACCTTGTAGGCCCCTCCAGAAAAACGGTGCTTGAAAGCAGGCTGCCATCAGTAATACAACATCTGTCTCAGAGCCCACTCCTAATCTGACATTTGCAGGATCACTGAGAAAGAAACCATCTAAGAAAAGGCCAGTCCTAGGGCCTTCTCACAGGCAGAGATGTGCCAGATGAGGTTTCTGCACATGGTGTGTTATGTGCTGTCACTGTAGAAGTTACAGAAAGGAGCAGATTTGCCTCATTCACAGGATAGGTCCGCTATTGGAAAGAAGATCCTTGTATAAAATTAAATGAAGCACGTAGTATAATATTTCTTTCTCTCATTTAAGATGAAAAATACTAGCAAGCTTTGAAAAAAATCTGACATTGAATTAAAGACAAGTATGAAGAGTAACAAATAGAAGTCACTAATTTTGGCACTTTCAGAGTTCTTCTGAATTCACCTCCTGCATCACAATGAAAATCTCATTTGACTTTCTAGTGCAAGGCCCAAGGCCAGGCCCTGGCATGGCTCTAAAAACAGGACAGGACAGCTGGCAGAGGGTTTGTATTCAGAAATTATATTGGAACACTTAGGAGACTCTCCTCCCTTGGACTATGCAACTTCTACAAGAACTGTGGAAGGCACCTAGGCTGGTGTCCAAGGCCCTTGCCTACAGGTCCGCTGTCACTTGGCAGGTGTGGTCTTCATGGGTGCAGAGGTGTGCATGTTCTCCCTTGGACCTGCTGTGCACAGACCGCTCTCCTCCTCAGAAGGTTTCCCACACAAGCTCAACATCTGGTTTTCTTTTCTGGTGGTGTGCATGCAAATCCGTGTCCAGCAAAAATCCTGCTTCGCTTATACTTCTTTAGCAGACATGGAAAATGTCTTCTAAAATTTGGGTTGTAGTAGAAGTGAAACTAAGAAAGGCAAAGGGGAAAAGAGTTGTCACCACCTTGAGACTGGAAACCACAACAATACAAGAAGAAGTTTAATTGCAAAAGGGAAATGTGGATCTTAAAAAGGACTATTGGGGCATTCTAAATCTGAAGTTTAGACTGAATAAAATGGTGTGATCCAGTCTTGTTAAGTAGTAACCAGCCCTCTGGTTTTTGCACTTCATAGCAGAGAAGCGTAGGATTTTCAAAAGCATACAAACTGATGTAGAAACCCCAATTCCCTTACTTTTCAGCACCTTTAGCGTGGAGTGAACATGTAGGTAACTCTATGATGCTGACAAGTACCTTGTCAGCCTTCAGCAAATGTCACAAGAAAACTGTACATCTGATACAGCAAGACACAGCAAATACAAAAAAAAAAAGCCAATACCATGTGCGTATGTTTTCATTTTTTCTGTTCAAAGTAATTGGAAATAACCAATGTATAGTTTATCAGCATTTCTACTACTTAGAAACACTACCTCAAAAACTCCTGAACATGAGCTGGGAAGCAAATTACAATCCTCTTCTCTTATGTAGTAAAGGCTTCTTTCATTGGAACAGAAAACTGTCCCACTAGAATATTTGGAGAGTTAGTTTGCACAGAGATGATCCAACATACCTCCTTAGCTGTGTCTTCTGCTGGCAAGTCATTGCATGGGCCCAATTTTGGAAAATCCCACAGCTTTCTGATGAATCCATGCAGGTAGAGGTGATGAGTGAAGCTTCTCATGCTCCCACTTTCAAAAATTTTCAGACGTCCTCTCCTTGATAGTACTTCCTCTTCAAACAATTTTTTGTCAATCACTACACACTTTCCATTGCCCCCCCACCAAAGGGATTCAAACTCATTGCTTTCAACAATGTCCCAGAGCTTCTTCAGAAAGCTGAAGCGTGTAGAAGCATTGCCTTTGCTAGAGCTCTCCTCAGATGATTTTGGATGCTCTCTTGTTGACCTGGATTGCTTAGTCGGAGTTTGTAAAGACCTTTCTTCTATCGGAGGTTGAAAGGCAGCATCACCAGCTGCTCTTTTGTCACATGCTGGATAGAGAGAAGTAGTCAAGCCTGACGACTCAACTCCCTTGTCCAGAACAGAATCACCTGAAGTTTCCAATGAGGAAAGCTCCATTTGAAATTCTTTTTTCTCAGTTGGAGTACAGTTTTCACCTGAACCCTAGCAGCTAGGCTGTCCTGCCAGCCAGCCAGCTGAAAGGAACTGACCAACTGACTGAATTCCAAAGGAGAATTCTCAAACATCCTGTAACACCATGCTGAGCAACTGTGACATCAGAGAGCAGCATCCATTTTCTAGTGACATGGAACAGCAGCTAAACAGCACTTGCTGCTTTTCATATATGTTTTTTTTTTCTTTTTACTCGAGCCAAAAAGTAAATAGAACTGCAATGAAATGTTAAGTGCAGTGACAGGACAGTGCTGCCATGGGTTTCAGCTAGTAGCTAGTCCACAGGGAGGAAGAGAGAATGAAAGCGCTGCATGTCTCCAGTTTTTCAGTTGTACACCTTTCACCCACACTGAAATGTCTGTGCACTCTTTGCTCGTATCTCATGGCCATGCTCACACTAAGAAAACATGACCCATGGTGTTTGAGCTACTTTAACTGTGGGTTCACCTAAACACAAAGGGCAGCTGCGAGGATGTAGGAATATCAGACATGTTTTTATAAACTACTGGAGTATAGGTTTCAAAGACTAGATTTCTCTAAAGCACCTGGAAGTCCAAGACAATCTGTGAAAGGAGGTCTTTCTTCAAACAAGAACGAACTGGTACGAACCCCAGTGAGCTCCTATCCTGAAAAGTTTCATCATTTACACCAACACAAAGTTGTGAATGAAGACCAAGCTATGATATTTATACCAGCTAACTGACAACTGTAAAACCTACAACCCATATTTCTGGCATAGATGGCACACACAATGCAAGAGGGAACAGCCTATTCAACAGCCACTGTAACGGGAAAATGGTGTACCTGCTGGTCAAGAAGAATTAAAATATGAAACTGGAAAAGCAACAAATGCAAATCTTGGCTCCTAAGCCAGTACAAAAGTTGAAATACATGAAAATTTACACAGCTAACTCAAAAACATCATGTAAGTTGCCATACATTCTATTTGCCCCCAAAAAAGCTTTCAAGTTTTGTCCGAGAAGGACAAACTCCTGTGCCTCTGTAGTTAAGACAATGATTGTGGCTGAAGAGAAAAAGGAGGAAAGAGGTACTACACTAAAAAGTCCCCAAAGCATTTAAAACAAACAAGGAAGTTAAATGTATATTTACGACCTAAAAGACACTTGGAATAGCATAGGCATTTCATACAAGGTTTTTAAAAAAATACTCTTAGATAATACTTACACTGTACAGGACAAGACTTTTAAACAATATATTACACTGCTAAAATGGTCATATAAATACTATACAGGCAAGTGTGCAACCAATCCATTAGGAAGGTTTACAAATTACACCACCACATATCTCTGGAAAAGCTCTCAGATTATCTTCAAGATCTCTGATTTGTGTAATCCAAGCCACTGATTCAGCAATATCTATTTTAAAGTAATTGGGACAAGGCATGAGATGAAATACATTTGTCTGTGGATTCCCAGTTCAAGTTTAACGTGCTACTGTCATCTTAATCTGGCATATCAATGTTTAATTTGGGAGGTGGAATCACGTATTTTCCAGGACTCTGTGTAATGACCACTCCAGTCTTTTTTCGAAACATTGGTGCAATTTTTGGTGGTTCAGGCAGTGGTGTTTCTTCTGTTTCCTCATTATCTTCATGATGAAGATCATAAGAAATATTTCCATATTCTCGTAAGAATGGGAAAATTTCAAGCAGGAACTGGCAAAAGTCTTTGCGAATTCCAAACCACCCTAAAAAAAAATCATTTCACATTATTGCAAAACAGAATGGAAATTAAGTACGCAGACTATGCAATCTCATTTTAAGTTCTCTTGATTGTTTGCATATGAACAATACAAAATTTGTTAGTTCTGCTTCTCAGTGTTACTTACACCTATCACATAACATTACAGTTCAGATACCCACATAGATATACAGGCAGAATATATATGTGTATTTGCATGCCTCTGCATGTCTGTGTGTGTATATCCGTATGAATAAGTTACAGCTATACTACCACAGCAAGAATCCATTTCATTTCACATGTTTAACAGTGTCAGGTCACATCAGTACACAGAAAGAGCACAAAAGACTCTGCATCTTAATCAAAGCCATCAGTGCCACATGGGAAGACATTCATGCCAACTTTTGTTTAATACATATAGATTACAATACCAGAGGGAATGTCATGGCATAGCCAGACATAGATTAGTAAATATATGGCTTCAGTATTCCCCAGATGCTTCTGTTAGCAAAATACGATGTCAGGAGTATCTCATCCTTGGTATCACCCGTGCTAGATTAGAAAACAGTACACCTTCTGTGTTTGTCCTCTGTTTTACTAGATGCAAGGACTTGGAAAGAGAGCATTTTAAGTGCCACTTGTCATTCAGCAGATGGCATTTCTCTATCAACCAACACCAAAGGTCAGCATTAAAAGGAATAACCTCCCCAAGTCAAATCTTTCACACTGAATGAAAGCAAGGGTTTAAGCATTTGCCAGGGAAGATCCCATACAGTCCATCTTTTTGCAGAGATTATATTTCATGGCCAGCTGGTGTATTTCTCTTTGTGTTTTCGAGGTGGATTTGCATGCAAGTCTTCTGTGGCTCACTTCAGGTGAAGAGTCTTTTTTAAAAATTTACATAAATATTTATTAATCCTACAGAAGACAAAATAGACATGTGGTTTTCCAAAAAGACTAATTTGGCCACAAATTATCAAGGGCACACATTAATGAAAATTATAGTAACTCATAACAATGTTCCGTGCAATAATATAAAAATAAACTAAAAGTATAGAGATGAGCTCAGTCATGACCAAAGAAAGAAACTCTCAATATACTTCACAACTGGACCAAAACTGAAGTGAGTTTATAAGACAAACGTCACAGCTGGTTCCTTTTGACTCTGAAAAGTTGTATTGCCTTGTCAACAAGGAACACAAACTGCAATGTGGATGGGAAGAGCTACTCCTCTGCAGTGGTTCAGTAACATTAGGTGGCTGAAAGTGCAAACGTTCCTTTTGGCAGTGCTAGTTGTGGTAGGGGTAAAAGCCTAGAAAATCTACACTGGCCACTCAGGCAACTGAAGTTAGAACTAAACAGCACAGAGGGCTATTTGGCCAAAGAGGAAAGAGAATACTAGTTCAGGCTACTTGGACAAACGCTAATTAGAAATGGCAGGTGCTACACTATTTTGAGAACCCAGAGTAGGAAGATCCAGTCACATCCCAGGAGAATGAAACCCATGGAAATAAGGAAGGATAAAAGGCTAAGTTACAATTAAAATCCCACGGAGATTTCAGGTTGAGTCCAAGCAGAAGTTATGCTCTTATGGGAATAAGAAATACAAGCAAGAGACACTGTAAACACTGAAAACTTACTAAAATAACCTGAAAGCAATAGTAACAGGCACATCTGAATTCTTTTATGAGAATATACACAAAAAACACAAAAGTGTAAAAATACAGATCTTCAAAAACATTTAAGCCTTGAGTTTCAAGCCATTTCCATTATTTTTAAATACTTACAGTGATTTCCTCCTTTTTGTCCAAATGTTGTTGCCATTAAAGTTATCAGTGAAAGCCAGAGAGGAACAAATATGGGTATAAAAGAAAAAGAATTATGCCCATCCAGTCTGTGTACTAGTAAGATCTAAATGGCAAAAAAAAAAAAATACAATGTCAGTTTAATTGCAATACCCACTTCTAAGCTTCTTAAAACATATGCTGATCTCAGATCTTTAACTTCACACATCTGTGAAGCAAAACAGCCTCCACAGAAACAGTTCCAATGCGAGCCATATTTTATTCAAACTTTAAAGAAACATAGAATTCTTGGTTTGCTTTCATATTTGCTGTGAATATTTTATTCCAAACCAAAAAGCAGTATTCACATTTTAGTAGGTTCAAAAAAAGACATGGCAACATTCATCACTCACTGAAAAAAGAACAAGATACATAAAATTCATTCTGCTTTTTCCTACCTCAAAGGTGAGCAGTGGAACTACAATTGTCATCCAGCTGACCGCCATCGTTATGTGTGTCCTCCTTTGCTCAGCAATCACGTCCATGGAGCGCAAGAACAGAACAGACCATACAATGTAGTAGAGCACTACTAGACACAGAAAAGACATCAAGATCCACAGTGGAACACAAACAACCTGCAAGAAAAAGAAATTAACTGCTTTTTCCACCCCCACAGTGAGACATTTTTATCAGTTTGATTTGTTTCAGGTGTGGGTTTTTTAAATAAAGCAAGTCTACATGTAAAGTCTAAACAAGAAAAAGAAATTTAAATCTAATGCTCTTCAACTAATACAATCTCTAACAGAAAAGCTTCACAAATCACATGCACTATTGGGAGCTGCATCAGCTCTTTGGGGTTCCTCAGTTAGCTTTGTAAACCCCATCCAGCTGAAACAATTTAAAATTAAGTCCATGTAGTTCAACTCTAATCAGACTTATGTGATTTTACATGGGCTCAAACAGTACTTGAAATTGATGTGAGCAAGTATTTTCTACACTGGACACCTCACTTGAAACAGTTTTGAAATTGGATCCTTTTCCTAGTTTTTTTGAAAATAGAAAGGACAGTCATGATCATGCCAGATTATCAGTTTTATGGTAGTTTACAAAATCCCAGACACAGAAACAGTGCTTTTATATTCTAAAGGCACTTGGGGCAGGAGATCTCAGCAGTTTTGACTGTCACCACTTGCGCAAAGTGTATTGACGTGCATGGTAACACAACATATAAAACAAATTATTCACCACACCGTATTTACCATCACATTCCCTAACTCACCAATCATTTTCATGGCTATTTTAGTGTTCCCATTGGAAACTTTTGGTTAGGATTTCTCTTTCAACAACTGATCAGAGATTAATTGCAGCTGATGGCACATGCTTCTCCCACTACGGATGAAATGCCCAAAGGACAGCCTCTGTTTCCCATGACCACTGAATGGAACGCCAGACCTTCAGTGAAGGATCGTTAAGTGAGCAAAAACGCGATCATGGACTGTGATCATACATTAACTGTTCCCTATAGTAAGTATCTTTATGAAATTCAGCATTTAAACAACAATAAGAAGAAAACATTTGTTACATACAAGCCACGGCCATCTGATGATCTCGTCTAGCCTGAGTGCAATAAAGATGAATTGTAGAATATTGACTGAACACAAGATTTCCAGCTAGGAAAAAAACAAACAACATTAGTTAACTCTTAGTATGAGAAAGCTGTTTCCAAGGTAATCAAAGAATCTGTCAAAGGACTTTTCCAACTCTGTGCTTATCACTGCAATATGGAGCATAATTTGCATTTACATTAGATATTACTAAGCATCCTTAAATTTGTGATGCTGTGATCCCAATAGAGTAACTGTAGAGGCAGCTGTCTCCTGAGGAAAGACCTTCCTCATATTAAAAAAAAAAAAAAATGAAATAAAGCACTACCTGCAACACTTATTTGAGCAATCAGATAAATAAGAAAAAACTAATCAGACTGAAAAAAAACCAAAGTTTAAAAGTCCCAGGTCTATCTGGGGGCAAAAAGAAATACATAGAATAGAGGAAGATGACATCCAAATTCAATCATTTACTGAATAATTGAGAGTTATTTTAAATGACACTGAACACACTTGGGTTTTGAGGCAATCCAGAAAAGCAACACTTCTCGTTAAAAAACATTAATGAAAGCTTTTCAAATGTCCCACTTGCCACTATGAGAACTAACCCTAGATTATACTTGATTATATCAAGTTTGTGACTAGCTTGAATAAAATGAAACAATGAAACATCATCAGACTCAGCAAGATTCTGTTTGTAAAGTTCATGGGCAAGCCTACATGGGTAGGAATTTCAAAGATCAAACAGAAAATTATTATCTGAAAAGACTAACTGAAGCTCTTGAGTGTAAGTTAGGAACATTTTCAATTTAAAAAAAATAGTGTAACACATAAAAAAGCTTTTTCTGTGTCCACCATGATATGCAGACAAAACCCCACTATGTACTTACTGATCACCTCATCAGTTGCAGAATAGGAACAAGAAGACAATACGCTTTCAGAGTAAATAATTATGAAAATAATAATAGATTAACTACTTTACTTGTGTCAAAAAATAATATCCTGAATTAAAGACTGGCCCCTCTTATGCTTCTAGCAAATGAAAATGAAATAATTAAATCTTCCCATAGTAAAAAGAAAAGTAGAACAGCACTAAGTGAAGATGACAAAAGAGTGAAAAAAATGAGCTGACAGTTCAACTGCATAACTGATTTTCTTTGAGACAGCTGTTGCCTTTTAGGGGTGAGTGGATTCCATTTTTTTCTGCTAGCACTTTGCAGCTGTGCAGTCATCTGTAAATCAATGGGCAATCAAGCATCATCCAGAAGACAGCAAGTACTTCTATGTGGATTTTACTTTTAGGAATGGTGAACTGTGACCAGAACTCTGCAAAATCAAATTATATTTGCAATATTTTAAAAATCAACAATGTAAGGTATTAGTTTACCAGCTATCCTAACAATCGCTTACCAAAAATGTTTCTCTCTCAAGAAAGAAACTTGGCTTATACTAATGGTAAGGAAATACTCCCCTGAAATAAAAAAAAATTTGAAAAAGCTGAACCTCATCAAAAAATCAGATTTTTAATCATCATGGGGTAGTTTGAGGACATAGCAAAAAAAAAAATTCCTTAAAATAGTATCAATTCAGTAAAAATTTCAAAATACCACAACCGTGAGAAGATCTTGAGCATCCTTACAAAGTTCTTCCAAAACCAAAAGCAGTGAGTTAGAGAGGAAAGAAGATGGAGGCCGAAAATAAAAACCTACTGGTTTATGCCTACCATCTGCATTCCCCAATTAAAGATTAAGCACACAGATTGGGATAGCAAGAAATTTTCAACCCTGATTATCTAAAGCTCTGGAAGTTCAGTTCTGCCTAGGGACAGTGCTTATAATCGGTGGAATTTTCTTCAGTAATTTCTGCTTACATGTCTAGTATTAGTCCATATTGCAGAGTTTGCAGTGAGTTCTTTTAACACACAATAATCAAAAGACAGGTTTAAAACATGCTGCAATTTGGTAGTTGAAAAAACTAGAAGAGATTAGAAAAAATTATTATTCCCCATCCTGATTTTTCACCCTAGCAGGTCTGTGCAAACAATTAATGCAGCTGATGCAGCCATCCATATCACGCTTTAATGAGACATGAACTGTAACAGAATTGATAAGAGTCTGGCATTGCCACTAATTTTGCACACCACAAATGAAGCATTACCTCCAGAGACCTGTCATGTCGGAATCCCCACACACAAGCTGCAACTGACACCGGAGACACAAAGAATAACGGCATGAAGACCAGAAGCCAGAAATGGGTTCCTCTTTCGATCCTGTCACACACCAGAACCTCAAACATCAGCAGCAGCAGGTGGATGCCCACGGCAATTAACATAGCTTTGAACTCCACACAGGTTTCTCCTTCTGCTCTAGAGAGGAGAAGGAAGCACGCAGTTCACTTGTCAATAGGAAAGCACACTCTCCTGCAAACATCCCACAACAGTTTTTTCCCCATTGTTAAGCTTCAGGTAGTAACACTTGTTTACAATGAAAACATACATTATGCCCAAAGAGCCATAATTAAACTACATTGTTAATGGTGCCACAGGATTTCTTGCCCCTAAAGCTGAACCTTTAGAGTATTTCACTCAAAGGAGGCAGTGGGATTTTTACAACTTGAAAATTTTCTAAAGATTCCATAACTGTGCAGCTAACACAGGACTTTTCCGCTACTACATAAACACTCAGGTATCACGCACGCTGTTAGGAATCAGCTAAGCCTAAAATTATCTGAGTGGTTCCTGCACCAGCTTTCACTGAATAAACATCTTTCTCCAGGATTTCTTTATTCAGCACAATCAGCATATTGCAACAGAATATTATCTATTACTAACAAGTAAAACACCTGTAAAATAACAGCACACACAGAGAAACCACACTTTTTCCTGCACAAGCAGGACCTCTACTAGAAGAGGCAAACAAAACCTGAACCACACAATATAGCGAATCAGAACAAAACCTGTGCACAACATCTTTCCTTTAATATTCACCACAGACAGAAAAGAGGCTTGAATTTATTGCACTTCATTTAAGGTAGTTTTTCTTGTCCCCTGGCACGTTCAAATTCACATCCTATGCGGATTACAAAAAAGTAAACACTGATGTATTGAAAGGTCTGAAAGTTATTTTACCCTAGACTGACAATCAAAACATCAGTGTTAAACAACTTTAACAAAATCCAAAAGGAATCTACAGAATTTGTTGCCACAAACATCTTAATTTGCAAATGTTACACATGTGCCTATATTAGTGTATTAAACTACTTGAACATTTCTTATAAAATGGCAACTAAAGTCTGAAAAAAATTCTCTATGTTCACTGCATAATCAAGAACCACTGAACATTCATCTGTATGTTCACTGAGGTTATATGCACATCAAGGAGGGGGAAAAAAAAATCATCATTCTTTAGGCTGATCTGTACCTGTCAGGAAACTGATTTTGAAAATAATCCAATTAAATAAGGTATCTTCCTAGTGCATACGAAGATACCTATTTCTATATAGCTTGTACTAAAGCAAAGAATTCCCAACACTTTTAACAGAAAAGCACAAAAAGTCACTCCATGAGAAATTTTAGCTTTCCAAAGACAATATTGTTGAAGCCTGTGATAAACTGTTGCAACTAGGATTAAGACATCCATAACTGCATAAAGCTGATTGCATACACCATAGGTTGTGATAATTATTTTAAATATGCTGAAAACAAGCCTTCTGGATGCTATATCTTATGTTGTTAGGAAGCCTATTTATTAATTTTATTCAGTACAGAAAACACATTATGTTCCCTCTGTTTTGCAAAATAAATCTCCTCAACTTACCGATACTGCGGGTTTCGGGCCCATACTCCTGTTCCCACTGAGGCACCAACAATCACCATTAACTTCCAGAGCCATATTGGAGCAAATACAGCCCAGTAACTCCATTGAATTTTGTCATCCAGACGCAGGGAGAGCAACACAGAAAAAAGCAGCAGGCAGGCATAAATGAGAAACTTGCTATGAAACAAACAAAAAAAACCCAGAGTCAGAAATTAAGGCAGGCACCTTAACATGAACTTTGTAGAGAACAAGAAAATCAGTCATAGCTGAAATTTAATCAGGGTACTTGATAACAGAAAACGTGTGTCCAACTTCTTTGAAAAGAATCAAATCACTTCTGAAGAGTCAGATATTTCATCATAAAGATAGCATATGTCATCTCTTTCACTTATAAAACCATTGCTTCAAGGGAACACATCAAAAGCATTCTTGCATGACAAACTTAATGAATGGCCATCTAGAAATAGTTTCCTCCCACAAGGAACCAGTCAGGAGCTGTATTATTAGACACTCAGAAATGAACCAGTTGTACATGTTTGTAGAAAACGTGTTCTTTCATACAAACCAAATGAGGTAGTCTTTGACATTCCAAATTAAGTTACATAATTTATGTAATTTTATCCACATTGTTTTTATCTAAAGATAAAATCTATTACATATTGTAATAAGGAAGACTCCAGGGATTTTTTTTAAAATTAATTTTACATTCACTTAAAAAAAGCAACATTAAAGGAAAACAAAACCCAACAGGTTAAACTTTTAACAAAGTTACTGATTATACAGTGAAGTTTCTGAGTGGAATACTGAGGATGGTGCTTACAAGTTTACAACAGGTGTGTCAATATATTTTATAAACTAGTCAACCTAAGAATGACTAAATATATCTGGAGTACTTGAGAGCAGTGGCACAGCAATTGCTTGTACCACCAAAAATCAGACAAAATAATTACATAGGGCATGATTTCCTCACACTACAGGAAGGGAAAAGGTCTCCCACCCATTCACCAGGGGATCACAGACTGCTTTATAAAACACCTAACGGGGCTTCAACAACACTTTAGTGAAGTAACTGTAGCTACTGTAATACATGGATAACCTAAGGAAAAGAGTAAATACTTGCTACAGAGTAAAGCAGCAATAGTCAGGAACACCACCCTTACTCCAACAGCACAATTCAAACTACCCACTTTCACCCTCATCAAATAATAAAATATTAATTAGATCAGCATTGCCCCGTTTAGATATCAAGCTGCTTTGTCTCTATTCAGAACAAGTGTCTTATCTACCCCTCAGTAAGAAAAAGCAAGTTTTATTGCATCAGCATCTCCTCACGTGCTGGATCAACCTCAGGATAGGATGATATAAAACAAGTCACTCTTGTGACATCCCCTCCGCTTTCTAGGCTGTTCACACCTTTCCAAAAGTCAATATTTGTGTAATTGGCACTTTCCCTGGCTCCTCAATAAATACAGAGCTAAAACACCATGTGGCAAAATACCTGAGCTGTCCGAGTGCTCCAGTAAACGTTGAAACGTTCAAGATTAAATTATCAGCACAAGTGCAACATTCAGCTTGCTCACTCATCATTTAGACAGCACCCAACTAAGCCACAAGGATTGCTTAGCAATAACAAAACCTTATAAGCTTCTGGAACTTCTGTCCCTCCTTTTCCATGACTTCCAACCACACATATTTAAATTGTTTATTTCAACCTCTCTGCAACAATGCATTTCCTGAAGCACTGGTTGTCCTTCTGTTTGTCTAAACAATCAATGGAACACAGCTTTTTGTAATTACACCCGTGTAAGGCATCTTTCACCAGCTAAGTTTTTCCAGGACTCTTAGTATCTCATGTCACCCTGCACAAGCTCCTTGCAGGCCTCTATTCTGTGGTCTTAAAATACCTGGTAACAGCAAAACCTGCTAAATTAACCTCCTTCTCGCAGCTTCTTTAGAAGTTACCTGTACCCAGCTGGCTTGGCAAGACAGCAGAAGCCCAAGTGGCAGTGACTATCACCTCGTTACATTTAAGAGAGCCCAGAATCACCCCAGCAGTCCTGGGTGTCTCGGGTGAAGCCCGGTGCCTGCACACCCGCACCAAGGAGCCTTCACCGGCTGCTCAATGCCTGGGAGGGTTTCAGGCAGCTGCCTGCCAGCATAGGCCTTTATACCCCCAACCATCAGGCTGAAAACTTCCAAAACCAGAATGAACCTTGGAGCAGTTCGAGAGAGTTACATAATAAAACAAAAAAGACTGAAGTTGGTCTCGGGTGAAGCCCGGTGCCTGCACACCCGCACCAAGGAGCCTTCACCGGCTGCTCAATGCCTGGGAGGGTTTCAGGCAGCTGCCTGCCAGCATAGGCCTTTATACCCCCAACCATCAGGCTGAAAACTTCCAAAACCAGAATGAACCTTGGAGCAGTTCGAGAGAGTTACATAATAAAACAAAAAAGACTGAAGTTGGCCTGGTACCGCAGC